GTAGGCATTAAGATTATAATATTAATATCTCCCTAACCTGATATCTATACTTTAGTAGGTCCTAATCAGATAATATTATCTAGTGTTACTGGATATAGCCACCTAAATCCAACGTAGTTATTAGTAATATAGATATTAGATCCAGGATCCAGTATCCAATAGTTAATGAGAGAAGAGCTATTATTACTAGCATATAAGAAGGTGGCGTAGGTCTTATTAGTTAATTAAGCACCTTAGTGGCAGTTGCTTAAGTTAATTATAAAGTGATCTAGAGTACCTTCAGATAGAAGTGGTAAGGTCTTTTTCTATTAATTTTCTTAATCTAGCTTACAGCAGAGGCTGTTTACTTGTACCTTTAATAGGATATCCTTGCCTTTTTTAGTAGCATCAAATTAAGTGATCTTAGCGCTTTTCTTAGGGTTAACAATAAATCTGCCTAATTTCAGATAAGGATTAATATATAGGCAGCTACTCTAGAAATGATCATCTCTACAGAGGCAGGGCTTATTAGGCTTTCTATTAATTGGAGTATTACCTAGCCTCCTTTTTCTATATAGAGATTCCTAATTATCTAGGGTAGCTGTGTAGGTGCCTCCAATAATATTAGCTTTTGTTCTGGTTGTTCTAATATGAGATAGGAACTCAGCAATCAACTGAGTTACCTCTATCCTGAGAGGTATATCTATCCTATAGCACTTTTCCTTGCCTATTATTTTGTATGATAATATAGCTCCATATTTGCTATTAACTTGTTTAAAGGCTCTGAGCAGATCTTTCTAAGCTCTCCAGCCAGTAACGTTAGGAAGATTGATTGATCTGGCGTTATCATAGGCGGTAATATATTTATTACACCAGTTTTCTATATTAATCCTTCATGAGCTCAGGGTACGAGCTTTTGTGTATTCATGAAGAATTTGTTGTTCTTAATTAATTGTTAATAGTAAGAACCTTTGTTGGAGCGCCTGAAGACGTTTATAAGATATTAAGAACCTCTTGATATAGGGTAATAGGTCTAGATGGATAGATTTAGTAATCTAAGCGTAGATCTAATTAAGTTAATCCTTAGTTTAGTGAAATTCCTTTATCTTGGATAAATACTGCGCCATCTATATTCTATAGAAGTTGTTTTCGTCTACTAATAGGTAGATAATCCTAGGCTGTTGATCTGCCTAAATTGTTGCTTCCTGCTGTAAGGCTGTTTGCAGGGTATTATCATCACCATTAATCAAATCAGGTGTATGGAGCGTCAGTTCTAGAGCCTCAGGCTTAATCAGTGCCTGTAGTAGGTTAACAGGCTTGTCAGGATCAATATATATCCAAACCTGTGCAGAGATTGCTAGATCCTTAATTATGAAGAACTAGAGGTCCCATTAATCAGAGCCTCAAAGGATAACTCTATCAGCAAGGCTGACGTCATTGTATTTCGTCATTTTGTTTGTTGTTGATTGATGCGTTCAAGGTGATCAACTGTAGGGTTTTCGCGTTTGGTAAGGATCGATATTGGTGGAAAATTTGGATTGAAATTGATCGATATTGGTCAATATTGATCAATATTAATTAGTAAGGTAGGTATCAACAACTAGGATAGATCAACGGATAGTAGAGATCAATAGAATTGAAGCTAATCAGTGAACTCAGCGGGTTGATATTAATCGGCTAGGCCAGGCTCATAACTGTAAGCTTAGTGGTAGTACAGGTTAAGGTTAAAGGAATTGGTCTATTGTTCTGATCAATCGAGCTTGAGACACTGATACTGAATTTCATCAGCTGACGCACGGCCCCGGCTGACGCACACCCACACCGGAATTTACCGAATTTTGACATTATTCAAACTCCACCAATATGGATCGTATTGAGGAAGCGCTTACACATTTAGAATCGCTGAAACCAGGAGAATCAAAAAATATTACTGTAATAGCAAAATTATATAGTGTTGAAAGAAGCAGGCTATCAAAGCGCTGGCGAGGCGTCCAGGGCTCTCATGCTGCACAGTACGAAAATCAACAACTACTCAATGATTAGCAAGAGAAGGAGCTTGTAAAGTACGTCAATCACCTCTATAACTATAGACTACCACCTACAAAGCAATGGCTACGCAACTTTGCCTCAGAAATCTATAGTAGAGAGGTAGGCTAAAACTAGCCTAATCGCTTCCTCCAGCGTCACGAAATATCTCTAGTTACTCACTAGACCTTTAGACTGGATCGTAATAGGAAGAGTGCTGATTCAGCCTTCAAATATAAGCTATATTTTAAGCTCCTTCAATAGAAGATTCAAGAGTATAGGGTAGAGCTACAGCATACGTACAATATAGATAAGAAGGGCTACCTTATTAGTGTACTCTTAAGAACAAAGCAAATCTTCTTATAATAGAAGTATAAGGAAGGCAGCCTTAAGTAGGCTATTTAGGATAGCAATTGTAAGTAGATTACCTATATTGCTTATATCTATACTGACAGATCTACTCTGCCTCTAAGCCTTATCTATTAAGCTACTACTAGTAATATTTAAGATAGCTGGCTGCAGGACTTTGATCTATTAATATACACTACCTTCTTTGCCTCATCTCCAACAGGCTGGACGAACAACAAGCTCAGCCTATAATAGCTAGAGCAGGTATTTAACTCAAGAACAAAGAAGGCAGCTTAGAGGGCCTACTAGCTCTTAATCCTTAATGGCTATAGATCTCACGTCTCTATAAAGTTCATCAACTACTATAATTAGAATAAGATTCTACTTGCAGTATACCTACCTTATTCAACTTATATATTACAGCTGCTTAATATAGGTATATTCAAACTACTATTAATAGCCTACTTAGATTAACTGGCAACTTTTATATATGAATTAATAGGATTTACAGCTCTTACTAAGCAAGACTTCTTCCACCTATTTAATAAAGCCTAGGAGATCTCATTCACAAAGGAGAATATACTCTTAAGCTTTAAAGCCTGTAGTATACAGCTATTCAACCCTTATAGAATCCTTACTTAATTTAGTAAGCCTACAAGCAGTAGGCCTTCTTCTAGTAGGAGCTCTTAATCAGTTCTTACTGCTTAGGATTGGAGACGTATTAAGAAGCTTCTAAGCAGTATAGTTGGTAATATATATAATTAACGAGCCAAGCAGCTTAGTAATATAATCTATAGTCTCTTAATCCAGGTTATAACTCTCTAGATGGAGAATCAAGGCCTAAGCAAAGCTCTATTTAATGAGAAGAAGAAGAGGAAGCGTAGCAAGGCTCTCTTGCTTGAACCACCAGAATGATACAACAGTGGAGCTGTATTTTATAGCCCCCGAAAGGTTCAATAAGCACGTAAACAACAAGCTGAGAAAGAGACTGCAGCAGAGCTCCTACGCAATAAAAAAGAGGAGAAGGCAAGGCTTAAGATGAATGAGAAGCTAGAGAGGGCTTAAATAGCTGAGGAGAGGAGACGTACAAAGGCAGCTGCAAAGGAAGCTCAAGAGGAAGAGCTACAGCAAAAGCAACTCCAGAGGCAGGAAGCCCAGCTCACTAAGCAGGCTAACCAGCAGCTTTAAAATGACTACAATGTAGCTAGAAAGGCTATAAAGCCTCCCCGAGCTCACAGTTGTACACAAGAGCAGGTAGTTGATGAGCAATCAGTTGTTGAAGTAGTAGATCTGCCACAGCAGCAGAATCGACGGGGTAGAACTATTAAGCTCCCAGAGCGCTATTGTAACTAGCTAGTACGCGCAGTAGAATCGCTGTAATTGATTTGCTACTCCATCAAAAATCTATATCAATCGATCAACTATTGAATACTGTAGGCCCTCGATTGTAGAGCTACTGCACGGCAAATTCCGTGCGTCAGGTGGGACCGTGCGCCAGCTGATCAAACTCAGTATAGGCTAAGTACACGTGATGCCAAGATATATGCCAAGGCTCATATCCAGCTTACACTATGCCTAGAGCTCGTGGTGGGCGAAAAGACAGTCTCTCGCTCAACCCCTTGATCTGTGGATCTTTCCTGGTATGCGATTAATGTTTATACGTATCAGGGAGTTGCGGGCGGATTAGGATATGTTACTGGTAGATATTTTGCCTGATTATGGTCAAAAAGTTTTTAACCTGCATCCGGCAACTTTCCAGCTGATCGATTCTTCAAGAGAACATGACCACCATGGTCAATTCGAGGGAATGTAGTATCTGTAGACGCCACTTGTTCAGTGCCGTGTCGATACCGCGCCTGTCTATGCATCTTTTCAACACCCATGATTCCCTTTCTTAGAGAGAAACCAGGCTGTTTCAGCATTGTACGGAATCCCCGAATAAAACTTGTGCAGCAACTCCTCCGCTAAGTTGAAATAGGAAGAATGTAGGCCCCGACCACCCTTTTCGCTATCAAGGCCGAACTTTCGACGACTTTCATGCATGAAAGTTCCTCGTATGTTTGCTTTCACTAAACACGCCTTGGGCTCCAATGTTCTTTGCTTCCATGGTGTTGATCTTCAAAATTGCCTTTAGCTTCCCTGGATAAACTACTGGTGACCGGTCTTGGACGTCATAAGATATGGCATCAAGCGGAGCTTATACATCGTCACTGACGATAATGCTTTAATAGAGTAGTTGATCGAACGACCGGTAGGAATAGAATAACCAAGTACACCCAAGGGAAATGAGAGCCTTGGAGACTGCTTTTCGACGCCTTCTTCCATATACCTATCGTGATGTTGATGATTCCGTGACCTTCTCAATTCCCAGAGGCAGTCACGTGACCACTACCCACACTCCCCATCCCCCAGCCGATGTAATACGCTCCACCCCCTGATACCCCCTTCCTCCCATCTCCCAGCTCATATCTAATCGCTCCCATATTTTTTATTCCCTCCCATTTCCACAATATCTCAAAAACCTGAACCCTTGCCAGCTTTCTAAAAATCTAAAAATCTCACAGCCCTCCATAAGAACAAAAAGAAAGCAGACCTGTCGCCCGAGGGGGGGCCTTAAGGAACTATTAATACTTGATCTGAAAGAGAAGAACGTGGAAACTCACTCGAACCCCCAACCTTGAGATTAAAAGTCTCACGCGCTAGCCAATTGTGCCACCCGGGCCTGGAGTGTTGGATAACGAAATTCTTTCGCAAAGATAACTATAATGACAATTAAATCCGACATAGCAGCAATCTGAGGAAGGAAGAGGGTAATTGGGAAAGAGTCAAATGCGCAGGAAGCTGACAGGCAAGGCTGAACCGAACCTGGGCGGAATGTGTCAGTGGAGGATGTCAGGGGTGGCGGATATCTGGCTTGGCAATGGGTCACGTGATACATTGTCTGACTTTGCTATTTGAAGATGAGGATGCAGGCGGAAATGGGGAAGGAAAGCTTGGTAGAGGATGTGAAGGGCACTTGATTATAGCTACCTGTTGAATGGTATTGTACACCTTTGATATGCATGAGCACGTGGTTCTTCCTACCATCTCAAGGGCCCACTGCACAGTGTAAAATGTCCTTCCCACATCGCATCTGAGAAGCAATGCCAATCATCAAAAACCCATCCCATCAAATTCTACCAAAAAGCTACAAGAACCGACACGCTGCCAGCCGACAAGTGTCCAAATGTACATAGAGCCTCTCCTAAATCCAACCGTCTTCCCGCTCCCCTTGTAACCCCCGCCCCCACATCTATCCTAATCTACCCTACGACTGCTCTAACAACTTCCCCGCCACAAGCGCAATAAGGGCCGCCCCAACTCCGCTCCCATCTTTCGCAATACCAATGCGAATCCGCTTCTCGCCTGCCTCTCCAATACCCTCCACCCCCCTCAACGCCTCCCTCATGAACTCCTCAAAGTTTGGGTAAAACTCGACCAAACTCCCATCCACACCAACATCAATAACATCCTCCTCCACAACGCCGGTAGACTTCTCCAGACGGCCGGTCTCAAGAACGATGGCGGCGATGGCAACAGCTGCAAGACGAGCGGCACGTCTGCCAATGGCAGCGGCAATCTCACGGACTGCTTCTGCATCTTCGGCACTCACAGCTGACACACCATACTCTCGCTCCAGCGTCTGTCGAATCACCCTGAGACCCTGGCTCTGGTCGCCGGCGCAGATGCTCAGCAAGCTAGTATCAATACCCCAGGGCTTGAATAGAGGGCCATTCCCATCAACGTGCGTGACACTGCTAATGTCGTTCTGGGACGAGTTCTCGTCTTTGAAGAGAGGCACAGCAGCGTCTTTGTATAGACCGACAAGTGCGAGGCGCAAGAGTTCACCCAAGAACATGCCCGAAATGCGCTTCTCGAACATCTGGATGCCTGGGTTGGGTGTTGCTTCATCGAGCGCAATGTCGTAGGGCGTGTTCGGGAGGACCTTGAGGCCGTTGTCAAACGAGCCCCATTCCGTGTTGACAATCATCTCGCCAGTCGACTTGTCATAGGAACCTGCATTCTTATCCTCGGTAAGCTTTGTGACCTTGTCCAACTTCTCCACGTAGGCTCCGTTGGTTCCAGTGCCGAAGATGGCGCCTAGCAGTGTTCCAGTCTTCCCGGGAGAGGTGTACGAGCGTGCCATGAGCGTTCCTACAGTGTCGTTCACCAACGCTGCAACTCGCACCGGCAGATGGAGCAGGTCAATCTCCTCCTGCAGCAAGGCGCACACGTCCTGCCCCACCGTCTCCTTGATATCGAAGCCCTTGGTCCACCGCATCAGCAGCCCTTTGTTGATACCAATCTGCTTGACCGGGAACGAGAAGGTGAAGCCCAGGTTGAAGATCTCCTCCTCAGCAACCTCGTTCCCCTTCCTCTTGCGCTCCACATGCGAGGCGTAGTGTTCCTCGTGGTGGGCCTGGAGAAAGATCTCAATCTGCTTGGCAAGGAACGAGAAGAGCTCCTTGGACGTCTTCGCAGCCATGAGCTCTTTCGGTATGGCCACCTTGCTCTGAGTGAGCGAAAAGGTAGTGTCGCCGTGCAGCTGGATGGAGCAGACGCGGAAGTTGGTCCCGCCCAGATCGACGGCCATGTAGAGCCCCTGTCGCGCGTTAGTCGTGTAATTGAACGGGTAGACGCTCTTCTAGACTACCTTTTCAGTGCCATTGGGGACTGCCGTGACGTAGGTGGGGATCTGGCTCAGTGTCGCGACCTCAGTCTTGAGACCCGCATCTGCCGCTTGTCAGTGTCTGCATGCCGGCATCATGTTCCAAGACACACCCATTTCCCTTATGAACTCGGCCACGCCGCGCTGCAAGTCCTCTTTCCCATAGTCAAACTCGGCGGCGACCCGCTTCGCGTGCTGTGCCAGTGCCATGCTGCGGTGTGAGTTTGTGTTGAAGGTGCCGGTGTTCTCGACGAGGTCCTGCGGGCGACAGACGGGCGGCGTCTTTAACAGGACGGGCTCCGGGACGGTCACGCCTGGCGATGCAACGCGCCAATGCTCTGTTGCAGTGAAAAGCTGCGTGAGGCGCGGGGCTAGGAATTGCAACGCAACCACTAGCAGCAGAACAGCGACGCTCAGGTGGTGGGTCTGGAGGGGCAGCAGGCGACTGGTGGCACGACGTCGGACGGGACTCGAGGGCAGGTCGACGGCGGAGGACGACGGCGGGGAGGGCAGCACAGTTGGCTTTAGCTGGGTGCGCAGAGCTGCTTGCCCGCCAACTGGTCCGTCGTGGGCCTTCAGGATGGTGGTGAGCACGGAGGTCTTGCTCTGGCAGGCGGGGTATGCCAGGGCTCGGCCTATCAACTGAGGGAGGGGCGTGTGGGCTCCGGAGAGAGGAACGGTGCCCTATGCAGCGAGAACAGCGCGGCTGCAGACCGGACAGAGCAGGTGTTGGGCGTCAACCAGGCTGCACAAGACACTGGTCCGCAATTGGAGCCGCCGAGACGTGTGATGGGGTGACGTGCTCTAGCGGCTCGCACCAGGCCTGGAATCAACGGAAACGAGAGGCCTTCCACCTCCCTCGTCGCGATCCCCGCCATCAGGCTCAGCCCATTTTACGTATTACGTCGGCGGCTGATTGCTACCCCAGACTGCAGACATTCCATCTCACGTGCCACCGACGACAATCATCGGCACCCTTGTCAGCGCGCTGATCACGTGGAAACCACAAACCGTGATGGGAGGAACCCACATCTTGTCACCCAAGCATGCCACAAACAAAAGCAACAAAGCTATACGGTTCTGAGCACGAGTAACGCTTCTGTTTGCCCTTCACTATATATCTATGCTTCCTACACCTCTCGTTGCTCAACTCCTCCCCCTCTCGCCAACCCAAACACTTTTGACTCGTCTGCGCCGGAATACATAGTACATCGCTCCGTCCATCTCCTCAAAACCAACACACCACTACACCATGTGAATAATTCGGCACTCATATGCCCCAAAACCAGAAGCGCAACAGTGCATGTATCGAAAACCCCGTAGCAAAGCCAAGACCAACCCCCACTATGCAACCCATGCAGACAAGAATTAGCGGGCGCCAGTATCTAGTAGAGACAAGACGCTGCCTGGAGAACGTCTATTGTATGTACGATGTGAAACCAAAGAAGAAACCCCGAATGAAAACAGCCCTGTGTGGTGGGTCTGGCCTGTATACGTCAAATGTTCCCCCTGACCTCGTTCTAATGTTCATTAAAGTGTGTGCCATGCTTTCCCTGCCCGACCACATCTCATAAAGCCCCTCGGCTGCTGATGGAGGCCGAGGCGTAATTAAACCCCAGTGTATTCGTCGTATTCGCGCCGGGAAAATGGGATAGAAGAGTCGAAGATGGATAGCTGCCGTCGCCAGCAGGTAAGGTAAGATAGACCTGTCCGCAGCGTGTCGATAGTCTCCGAGGAGTAGATGCTTCGTCAATGTGTCGCTCGAATCGAAAACGGTGTGGATGCAAGACCCCCAACATACTCCAATTCGAATGCTGCAAATGAAACATGTACATGTTTCTCCGATTACCGAACGCCGACGGGAGGACGAGGTCCCAGGCTACTCTGGCTGCTGTGTGCAGAATCTATGTTGCCATTGCTACCACCGCTACCACCGCTGGCGCTCGCACTTCCAGTCAGAGAACGAACTTGAGGACGGGATTTCGGCGGGTACGGAATGCTCACCCCTGCGTGTTGTTCGACCTGTTGCGGTGCTACTGCGTTTCCATGCCCAGGCGGATGTTGTGGGACTGGTTGTCGCATGCCCGGGGGTGACGGTCTTCCGTTGGGCTGAGGCATGCCATTTGGCCCATTTGACGGGTAGCCATTATTCGGCCCATTTGGCGGGTAGCCATTATTCGGCCCATTCGACGGGTAGCCATTAGGAGGAGACGGTCGTCCCATACCGTTCATCATCTTCGGGCCGGGACTGAGAGGGTTGCCCGGCGATTGACTTGTTCGACGATTCATTGGAGGATAAGCGCCGTAGCTTCCACCTGTCTGGAGCTCATCTAGACGAGCTGCGGTTAGTGAATTGGCCCTTGATGCTTGACCCATCTCGCCACGATCGACATTGCCGTATCTGTTGGATGAATAGCCCATCAGAGGGTTGTTCATGATGGAATCATGGAGGCCTGGGACCTGTGCCACTAATGTTGCCGAGGTTCTGTTCTTGTTCATGCCAGAGCGCGAAAAGGGGTTCCTGCCACGACCTTGATGCTGGGGAGCAAATCCGCCTTCCGGGTTCTTGCGGATCTGGTTGACGCTACTCGGAGCCTTCCGGTTACGACGAGATGTAACGCTCATCATGTCGAAGTTGTCAGGATCGATAGCAGGTCCCGGGGCTCGGGATGCCATTGGGTCGAAATAATCGTCCTCATCGTCGTCTTCATCAAACCCTCCAATGTGCGATGCAGGTGGTGGTGGAGGGCGACGAGGTCCGCGACGCATGTTCATCTCCTGCTCCCTAAGTTGGAGTTCCTTTTCGCGCAACATGAGCTCCCTTTCCCGCAAGGTCAAATCTCCGGTGGAAGCCGCACCCGGGTACCCACCGTTGGGGTGTCCATTGCTGGTCCCATCGTCTACTATGTTATCATACAGCATCAAATGGCTGAACTCTTCCAGATTGTTCTCCTCAAATGATGGACGTCTTTGCCCATCGGGACCAGGTGGATAGCCATTGCCATTCATTTGAC